TATATTAGCACTTTGCTTAAATTGCTCTTTTTCTCGTCTTTCTTGCTCACTCTTTTGCTTAAATTGCTCTTTTTCTCGTCTTTCTTGCTCTTTTTCTTGCCTATATTGCTCTTTTTCTCGTCTTTCTTGCTCTATCTCTTGCTCATTTGCTCTTCTGTAGTCATTCTCTTCCATGTTTAATCTGTTTTCTATTGCTTCTCTTATCCTTTGAAGACAACTTCCCGCTTTATAATGATCGTTAACTTCATTCCACTTTTGTGTTTTATTCCACCATCCTGCCCAAGTTTCCCCTGTTATTATTCTATATAAACCTAGAATATCTTTATCACACTCACTTTGCATTTTCTCTTGAACTTCACTAATATAATCACGCATTATGCTCTCATCATTAAATACTGCTGCATATGTTAAAACATCACAGAATTTTGACATTGCATAATCTATTTTTTTGTATTCCTTAAAGTCTGCACTTCTTTTTGTCTGCAAAAAAGTTAATAAATCCCAAATACGATACAACATAGACCACATTGGCGTATGCTCTCGACCCAAGGTCCCATCCTCTTGGTTTTGTTTTCTCCTCACTATAAATCCTTCTAGTTCCTGAGCTAAATTTTGGTACTTTTTATCTCCTGTGTTTGTCAAAAGAACCCTTTCATGTGAATTTCCTTTTTTAAATTCTCCACCTTTACTTGGAAATCTTGAGATTAAGTTAAGCTCATTATCATAAAAATCAAATAGCATGTCATGTACTTCCATCATAATTATGTTTATTGATTTTCTTGCAAGCTTGTTCAATTCATCATAATTATTATTACATTGATCTTTTTTCACACTGTACAAACAAGCACCATTGACCATCAGTACTTTTATTATATTTAAATTAGGATTTTTCTTTTGCGTTTCTGTGAATAGCAGTTCATGCATTTTACTATACATTAGATTTGGACTCAGCTCATTCAATGAACTTTCGATTAAATTTCTTACCTTTTCTACTCCAAGTTCTTTTACATCTTGACGCAATAAACCTGATGGTACATGCCTTCCCTCTTTCAAATTCCTTAAGTACCTGTTTAGTAATTTTTCATACATATTATTGACAAATTGTTTACCAATTATTTTATTGTCTGACATTTTTTGAAAAACATTACTTTCTATATTATTTAGTGCCTTTTCTAAGAATGCCCTTGCCCCCTCTTTTTCATCTTGAAATTTTGTCAATTTTTTCATTATAGCATCCAGTTCTTCTATTTTTTTTACTATACAATCTAATTTATCAATATTGTCATGACTTTCCTGTAAAAATTCAGATACATTTTTTGTTATAGATCTCACACAAACAACAGTACTGTGTGCACCATCTTTTAATGATACGTCTCCTCCAATTTTGCAATCAGGCAATATCCTTATTATATTCTCTATACGTCTACCACCTTCCCCGTTCAATGTTTGATTTACTTCATTTATATTATCTGAAATCTTGGTAATTGTACCTATACATTCATTAGCTGCCTTATTCAGTTCTTTTTCTGTTTTTTTTATTAGCTTCTCACATTCATCAACTACACTTGTCCTAACAACATTTCCTATTACATCCAATGCTTCAGCAATATAGCCAAATGCATATTCATATGAAGTAGAATAAATATTTGTATTATTTTCATTTCTTATACTTAATATATTACAATTGTTTTCAGCTGCGTTTGTTTGGTATTTATTTAGTCCTGCTTCTTTCGGGACATGAAATAGACGGTAAATATTATTTGTAATCTTATTTTCTTTCTTGATTTTGTCCTTATATTTTTCAGCTTCATCCCGTGTTATTTCCAACAATTGAGTTACCAGATCCTGATTTTTTTTTATTCCTTCTACTTCTTCTTTCCTACCGCTCCTAAGCAACTCTCTTTTCTGATTTAGTAGTTTTTTTTGCTCTTCTAATAACTTTTGTTGTTTTGTGGCAACTTTTATGGATAAATTACAATCTCCTGCTTTTACAATGGAAAGCATATTATAAGAGATAACAGAATGTGCCGCCCAATATTGCCATAACTGACAATATTTTGGCCCCAAAAGAATTTGCAAAAGTTTATAATCACCAGCATCCATTGCTGCATTAATACGACTTGCAAACGATTTATACTTATCAAAAAAACTTAACATATGACCTCATTAACTAAAATCTAACATATTCTAATTGTTATGAGATTACAAGTAAATAATTTTAACATAACTTTTTAGTATTTGGTTCATTTGACTACTTGTTAAAGCCCTCAAAAAATAAAGAATTTGATATTACTACCTATGCATAAAACCTCTCCAACTGCTTCCCCCAAAGCAAACTCATTTTTGAACCCGTGCAGTCATTTAACCTGATAAATGATGATAATATACCATTATATGATGGGACTGTATACCTAGCATTTTGTATTTTTACACATCATCAAGCATGCAAACCTAGTACTAGAGTACATGAAGCACACACAGAGGCAAGACCTGATATAGAAATTTCTGTTTATAGAGTCTTATAAACTCTATCTGTAGATTTTGGTTGTAAAAAAGCTAGACCTCTGCACCATCTAAAAAGACTTTGCGAGAGGTCTAACCCCACATTAAAGCTATTATAAATATAGTATTAATTTACAAATAATGTGTTAACATTTGCATCATATTCT